TCCTATGTTTCGAGAAACGACGCCAACTCCCGCTCTCCCAATCGCAAAAGGTCGCGATCCCGACATGCGATTTCGCGAAAACCGCTGCTCTTGCCTCCAAGATACCAAAACGACTCCGCCTTCCGTCTCCTTTAAGTTGCGAACATAAGAGAAGAAAATTTTTTAAGCCACAGTTGGTGTTCTTCTTCGGGCTTCCTCAGGATAGAATGAAAGAAAGTGCAAGTAGTTCCTTGCGGCAGAAGGAAGAAGAAAGAAGAGAAGAAAATAGTTCTCCCTTGGCTTCTTCTTGGTGGCTTGTGGCATAAGAGAAATTGGGTTTATTTTTTTCGTAAGTTTATCTTCTTCGGTGTATCTCAGTGTACAGTTTTTTCGGTGTATCTCGGTGTAGAGAGAGAAAAACAGAGAGAGAAGAAGTGATAGCAACGAAGTGAGAGATTCGTCTTGTAAGTCAAGGTGACCGACTGATGTAAATTCCTCAAGTAGTAAAATCTTCTACAACTCCGTGGACGTAGACAATTTGCCCAATTACGTAAATCTGTGTGTTTCGTTGTGTTGTTCTTTTCTGGTGTAAATTTTCTCGTTCTATTTTTCGCTTCGTCGATCGTTCTCCTGCTTGATTTGTATATATATACCACAACAACTGATATATCTATATATCTCGCACAACATTGTTTTCTTTCTATTTTCTTTCATGTAACACACAAATTTTTGATATTTGATTCACATTTAAAGAAAATTACACTGATTATTAGCACAAGCCAGACTATTATCTGCTTTGTATAATATTCGTTCGATGACCAGTCATGTTGAAATTATGCCTCAACAAAGGTAACACACAAATTCTTGATATTTTATTCACCTTTAAAGAAAATTACACTGATTATTAGCACAAGTCAGACTATTATCTGCTTTGTATAATATTCGTTCGATGACCAGTCATGTTCAAATTATGCCTCAACAAATTTCAAATAGTTCAAATGTATAAGAAAAAGTTTTATCTTAGTCAAGCCCATCTCTTCGATTTTCTATCGAATTTTGCATTAAGTCTCTGTCAAAATAATCTTAATTCAATATGTTCAAATCCAATATATGATGACATGAATAATTTACTCTTATGATATAACATTGTTTAAGCATTAAAAAAGGTTCACTCATGATCTTCGAAGTTGGATCTGAACTATTTTGTCTAATTCAACTTTGGCCTCTCAAATTTCTTAGAATGTTGTTAGAATAAACCTCAAATGAAAAGATATAAAACTAAGAATGAGGAATGCCTAAGATTTTAATTAGGCTATTGTCATTCAAAATAAGATTTTGATCCTATTTTTTTTTAAATAAATTTTTCTTAGATCAAATACTTTTAAATATGATCATATTTAAAAAGATATGTACATCTTATAATAATCACTATCATTTTAAGGCAATGCACAAAGAAAATGTGACTGACCATATTAGATGACTCATTGTCAAACACTTGTCAAAAGATTCAAGTGAAACAAGAATATCCAAGATAAGAATAAACCAACTAAACAAGGACCAATCGGTTCACCGACCCGAAAGCCACCTAAGAGCCATTCAATTAGAGAGACGATCAACTTGGATGACCAATCAACTCAGGAGCGGATCATTTAAAAGCCGAACTTATACGCTTAAACCGAATGACAAACTTGACCAAAGGTCGACTAAAGGAAATCAGCCTACCATAAAAATGTCGAGGGCATATTTTTCATTTTACAATTATTGTAGTACCCTATAAATAGCATGACAGCAGGATAGGTCGTTGGAATTTAATATTACAATACTTAATTCCTAAATCTCCCTCTTTACTCTTTCTTGTTTCCATCCTCATTTTTAGGTCATGAACAAATTAGGGTCCATTTGGCAAATAGTTAAATTTTCTAGTTTATAAGACAACTTTCATTAACCAAGTAAAAAACTTAAATCAAGCTAATGTAGAACATGCTAATAAAATTTCATTAAGGAAAAAAAAAATGTAGGTGTCCTTCCAAAGGATACCTTAATTGGCTGATGATAATGCATTGAAGTCATGTTCTCTTGGCGCTTGCTTTGTCTACTTGATTGTTGCAGGTAGGATGATGGGAAAAACTTCTATTATTTTAATTTTTTTATTGATCTTACCAAACACTTTTTCTTACATACTCAAAACAAACTTTAACTTTATATTGTATTAGTCGTTTTTTAAGAGAGGACATTAATAGAAAAATAATAACTTCCAACCCCTATATTCGAGTTTAGCTAGGGTCGGCTTAGAAAATTTCGATTCAAAATTTTAACTTCGTAGCCCGATTCATTTATTTCAATAAGATCTTGATTCGAACTAAAATTCAAATCAATTTTCAAACAATTAACTATTTTCGAGCTACATTAGTTAGATTGATAGCTCGAACATCACTAAGATTGTTAATATTCTGATTTAAAGCAAAGTTGGAGTCCGGTCGAAAAAGAATTCGATCAAACATTTTGGCTTGTAGCTCAGTAGATTTTTTTTATCCAATTTTGTTCCTAGCCTAAACTCAAATAAAATTTTTGAGTGATTAACATTCATCGAGCTAAGTTCATAAAATAGATGATATTATTATTTTAAATTTTATTTTTAATCTTAATTACATTTTTTTAAATAATGCTGAAATGTTAATTTTAATTTTTATAATATTAATTCTAAGAAAATAAAAAATAAAAATATATATTGAAATGATCTACAAGAGGAATTATTAGAATTCATTTTTAAAATAATCAAAACATATTTTAACAAATACATAAAAAATGAGAAAAAAACAAATATAAATAATCGGAATCATTTTTGCACTTTACACGTTGACGCTCTTTCAAACAATATATTAAGAAGATAAAAACCCCAAAGTCAAAAATCCGCAATCACCCGCCACACTTCCTCTTTCTGGATCGACTCACAGACTCTCATGGAAGCTCTGGTGTGCCAATCGATCGGCGACCCAACACTTCCCTTATGCGATTCATCACCGATTGTTCTGTCTCACTCTCACCCTGTACCCGAGCTCAACTCTCCCACTGCCGTGAGGGTTCGGATCTATGCTACGAGTCTTAATTTCGCCAATTACCTCCAGATATTGGGAAAGTACCAGGAGAAGCCCTCTCTTCCCTTCATCCCGGGATCGGACTACTCGGGCGTCGTGGAGTCCGTCGGAGAGAGCGTTACGAGATTCAGTGTTGGGGATAAGGTTTGCTCGATGGCGGCTCTTGGAAGCTTCGCTGAGTTGATCGTGGCTGATGAGAAAGAACTGTAAGATTTTGTGGAGATTTTCTTGGATCTGATATTAGGACTGTTTTTTGAACGGAAGGATTCTTTAGTTGGTCGATCATGCTGGGAAGCCTAACTCTGTTATTATTATTATTATTTTTTGGCGTTTCTAACTCAGACTTCAATTTAGTGTGGAACTAAAATCAGGGCATAATTCTATTGATTTGCTGGTCAAAATCTAGAACTGATTTTGATTTTTTTTTTCGATTAAAAAGATATTTAGTGCCTGATGGATGTGATCTAGTAGAGGCTGGAGCACTACCTGTTGCATTTGGGACTTCACATGTGGCTCTTGTCCATAGAGCGCAGTTAAAAGCTGGGCAGGTACTACTCTCTTTCAATTTTCCTTTTTTGTGCATGTCATTGAGCATCATCATCAATATTATTTTTATCCCAACTATTTTGGTTTGATGTTATTAAGCACAATCAAATTATTATTCTTATTATTTATATTTTGTTATTTAAAGTTTATGATAACTCCTAAAGCCTATATATGAAAACCTCTCTATTTCCACTCAAGAAAAAATTGTTCAAAACGTATACTTTGTACATTCATAACATGGGCTTAAATAGGGTATTACATTGTTTTACAAATGAACCCATAGACTTCTTCAATGTTCCCTTTTTACCAATAGAAGCCTAAATAATGAACCCATAGACTTATTCAATGTTCCCTTTTTACCAATAGAAGCCTAAATAAGGTTCAATTCTCAATATCCACATTTGAAAAAAGTGTTGTAGTCTTTTAGAGTTTTGTTATGCTCTGCAATAAAGTCTGCACACACGCACAAGCACAAAAAAAAAAAAAGTTTACATGCATAGCCCTTAATTCCTATGTTTTTACCTATCTAACACCTAAACTTTAATGTTTACACATATGCCAATTTACCTATGCTTGAAAGGAGTATTTCACCTTTTAGATTACAAAATAATAATATTTTTTTGTTGTGATATGAAAGACTTGGTGGCATAAATGTAAAAGATAGAGTTTAGATTTTAGATATGTAAATACATAAGAATTGGGTAGCATGTATGGTAAAAGCCTCTAAAAAAATTTGAGTCCACTTTTTTTGGAGGCCCAAACAAAGTGAGAAAGTGTCTTTTGGAAATTTTTTATCAATCCATCTAATTAATCAATAGAGTGACATAAGTTTTTATGTATTTTTGGTGGAGTATAGCATTTTTCATCTTTAATTGGCCGGGAGTTGTTTTATATTCACATGTCTATTTTATATTATTGAGGAAAACTGCATACTTTTCTTGTTGATCTTTTGATAATCAGAATATTGCAACAAGGCAAGTAAGTTTACCAGTTGTTTTGAAATAAAATTTGTGTAATTGGTATGTATATGTGTGATTTTTGAACTATAACCTCATGATTTTGTTTGAACCGACTGCTGCTTCTCATATTAGGTAAAATATATGTTTGGAATCTTTCCTCATTTCATGCTATCGGCGATACCTTGGTTACGAGAAGAGAACATTAGTACATTTGTTCCTTGAATATACTCATAATTGTGTAAAGAGCTTTATCTTGAATTATCAGCATCTAAAGGGAGTGTGGATTATGAGATTACAAACATTTATTAGTGCATTGATGCTTGCAAGTATTAAAATTTACATTTGATCTCAGATTTTCTGGTCAGATTATAAAAAAAATCAACTCTCTGGGATTTCTTCGTAAATTCAGCAGGTTAGATATTCATAATGAAGGGCTATTCCAATTGGTTCATATTGTAGAATTATATTACTTAAAAACCTTATGCATTGAGATAAAACACAGTTATGGGTTAAAATTTAGCTCTTAAAGCGCCAAATAACCTAACTACCATTGCTTTTGCTGTAACAGAGTGCTCGAATCGTTGTTTTGGGAGCGCCAAAGAGAGCTATAGTTTAATCTAGGAGAAACAAAACTTACACCATACATAGATATGGCATGGAAAATATAAATTTAAAGCATGGAGGTACAAAGAATTATACTATTTGAATATGGAGGGGTACAAACTGAGAAGAGCTATAAAATAGATTAAATTATGTTCCACAAACTAAAAAAAGAGATGTGGAAAAGATCTCTTCAAATTAGAGCAACCGTTCTTGAAAGAAAGGCTTGAACTTTGAAAACTTGTCTTTAAAGTGACCTCACATAAATTTGCAATACTTCGACTCGCATAAATGTCTTCCAAGTTGTGGCTCATGTAAACTCCGATCACTAGTTGGGTCAATTTGTTAGAAAATAAATTTTAGAATATTGTTTTGTTTTGATTATGCTATATCATTCATGTTACGCGTTGTGCATTTCTGTAATTTCTGTTTCTCACAAAGATTGCATAAATTTCAGGTATTGCTTGTTCTTGGTGCTGCTGGTGGTGTTGGGCTTTCAGCAGTACAGATTGGGAAGGTTTGTGGTGCTGTGGTCATTGCTGTTGCTAGGTATGCTGAGTTATTGTATTTTTTTTTTTAAATTTTTAGTAATGACAAGGGGAATGAGCAATATGAGAACCATTATAACTTCAAGGGGGAGCGAAAAAGTGAAGTTGTTGCAGTTTATGGGGGTGGATCATGTTGTCGACATCACCAATGAAAATTTAATAGAAACCGTGCGACAGTTTTTAAAGACTCGAGGGCTTAGAGGAGTTGATGTTCTTTATGATCCAGTTGGAGGCAAACTTACGAAGGAAAGCATGAAGCTTCTAAGCTGGGGAGCGCAAATCCTGGTTATCGGATTTGCTAGTGGTGAAGTACCAGTTATACCCGCAAACATCGCTCTTGTTAAGGTGGTCTAGCCCAACTTGATTGCACCAAAAATGTCATTTTATCTCTTGAACAACATATTAGATTCAATTTATGTCCGCATATTTAGTTTCATTATAATATATTCAAGGGAAATTTTCATGCATACCACACAATATCTAACACAAAGTTTTATTTTTATACGTATAACACTTTGGTGTCATAAACCTATGCATGAAAATGTGTATTTTACTTTAAAAATATTAATGATGATGATATTTTTTATGTAATGTTAAAGATTTGAGTGGTATGGATGTAAACATGAATGTTTAGTTGTTAGATATGTAAATACATGAGAATTGTGTGGTGTATATGTAAACGTCCCTATATTCAATTTACTGTAAGAATTTCTTATTATGACTAACTTGTAAAATCTTATGGCCATTTGTTGTGCTATTACAGAAATCTTCTTTCTCAAGTCCTCATGTTCCATTGGTGCTGTTAGCATACGACATTAAGTAGGAAATCGTTATATAAGGAGAGAATATAGTTTGGAAAAAAAATATACATCTATCGCCCTGAAATATAATTTTTCCTTTTTTATTTTCTTTCTAATGTATACAACATTTGCAATTATAAATATGTATTAACCAAAACAAAATCAATGGGATATTGTTCTTAGCTTTCTCAAACACGTCAAGAAGGCTCTAAGAAAAGGGCTGTATGTTCGGACTTAGCGCTAATATTGCAACATTGTTGATGCCAATTTTTGATGAATTTACTGCTGACAGAAAGTCATCTTTTGGAATTATATTTTTATAGGAGGTAATCAAGTTACTTGGAAGAGTAAGAATCAAACAAATGCTCTATATCCTGCATTGCATAATTTTAGATTATGACAAAATGTGATTAACTAATCGATGGGTACCCACATAAGATTTAAATATTATAGGAATTAGTTGGGGCTCTTGTGCGTGGCTATAACCTGCATTGCAAAGAGGTTATTTCATTTATTAGCTTTCTCATTAAATGTTTTCCTCCTAGTTTTTGTTTATACCCTATTACAGTTTTCTCCACTGGGTTATTGTGATGCTTTGTATCTTCTAGTCTAGCTAGGGTAACAGTCTTCCTTTTTCAGCGGGCTCCTTAAGCAATTATTAAAGTTAATTTATGAGAAGAGCCTACCAAGGATTCATATTGGATGTATTGAAACCTATTATTTTTAATTTTTACAAATTTTATTTAGTTATTTTATATTCTTTGAAGTTTATGAAGAGGACCATGAGTCATGTTAAATTCATTGAACATGAAATAGTGAAATGCAATATCTAGTTTTATTGGCCCTTGCATGAGTGATTGTTACTTGTGTTTTTTGAGTATTTACATGTATGGACAACTGCATCCAATGGTAGGCACCATGTACTGGCTTGAGGCTTTATTCTTGTGGGGTGATTTTTATCCTTATTCTTGTATCTTAAATTATTTATTTGCTGGTTTTACATTTTGATTAAAAAATTTTCATGTTAATTATAATATTTTTTGAAGCAGGAACTTAGTTTTTTACCGAAATTTCATATTTGTCAATATTTTTTTTTATAAAATCTCAGATTTTGAAGATTATTAAATTGTCTTTAGGAATGAATAAAATATGTTTCATGTCTTTACATTAAAAGCAATAATTTTTTCCCAAATTTTTTGCGTTTGTAATTTATGAATTGCGGATATTTCTATGTTTTATCTTGCATCTCATCCTAGATTGGATCAGAAACAATGGAACTGACAATGCAACAACTTTGCTTTAGCATTAAGATCTTTCTCTGGATCATCAGTATTATCTGCGCTTTTTACATTAAATAATTAACAGTTCTTGTTTTGCCGTCCAGCAACGTTACAATGTGTTAAAAAGAAAATTTTGTGATGTTATTCTTCAAAATATCCTTACATTTTATGAATATTTGATGTTGATTATCAGAACTGGACTGTTCATGGACTTTACTGGGGTAGCCATAGAATACATCAGCCCAAAATTCTTGAAGACTCTCTGAAGGAGCTGCTTTCTTGGCTATCAAAGGGTTTGATTAAGATTCAAATTTCTCATTCCTACAGTCTATCAGAGGTAATTTATCTTTTGCTGAAATTAATTCAAACAAATAAAAAATCCCTAGTCGTTTATAACTATTACAAAGAAGTCAAACTCTTGCAAATAATTTATAGAAAATGTATGAGAATTTCTCACCATTAGTCATATCCCAATCATATGGGATTACTTTTTATGAATCATCTGTTTTTATTTATTTCCGTTAAGTATAATATGAGATGCTAAAATTATAAAGCTACTTTTCTAAAAAAAGTTGGGTCAGGATGAGATTTAAAATTTTTTTATATTATAGTCATTTCAACATAAGTTTAAGAATTTTGAAGTATAATATATTTTTTTTGCATAATTTTTATTTATAATGTCTTTTATCTGCTCTTTTAGTCATGTTGTGAAAAGTGCTCCCCTTTTTAAATCGAAGTATTGTAGTTTTGATATCAAGTTTTGTGCTATAGTTTGAAACTTTTTGTCAGATACAAGCCAATTTTCTTTACTAATAAAAGATGCATGAATGTTAATGCGAAGAAATTTATGTGTTACTCTATTTTCTTATCCAAAAATAAGTTTCTGTCCTCGATAGAGACTTTTTCTTGCTTTACAAATTTTAATGAAAAGAGATCATGATCATGAAGGTGCTTTTTGAGGCATTCCTCAAAAAATTTATGAGGACACATTGTCCTCATACGATTAATGAAATTTGACTTTATATGCCCTATCACAGCAGAAATTGGAGAATTATACTTACTATTTATTTATTTGAAAAATATATTTGAAAGTTTTTTGCAAACCAAAATACTCCTGGTTTCTTACTGCTGGCTACTTTTTTAAGTTTATCATGACCAAAATTGATATGAACGTGATTCAAACTACTTTGATCAAGATTGAGACCATATACTAGAATTTTTTTAGTTCTATTCGAACATTATTTGTATCATATTCAAAGCTATGTTCTGATTCAAAGATAGGTTTGTGTAGAACAAGATTCAAATAAGGCATAATACCATAACTATAACATATCATAATGAGAAGCATTACCTTGAGTGAAAACAATTGCAGTGTTCTTCTAATAATAACGAGTACAATTACAATAAATATAACATAAAAAGATAAAAGTATTGATACAACTAAATATAATCACAATATTTGCAGCAAAGCAAAGTTGGACTGCTTATCATGTCTCAGATGAGTGTTTCATTACTTATTACTGATGAAACCAATAATTTTTCATTCATTATAGTACTTAAGATATCTCATTGTATCCCTATAAATTCCCCATATTTGACCACATTTATTTCTATTGAGATTTGGATAAGACCAGCCTACCTTTATTGATAAGAGGAGGGGTATTTAAACCTAATTACAATAGGCATAATAATGAAAAACAATAAAAACAGAATAAAATAAAAGGAAAAAAAATAAAATAAAATAAAACGAAGGAGGAAAAATATAATCAGTAAATAAAATAAAAAATATAAGTAATAACGGCATAGCGATAGTGGTTATAATTAAAGAAAGATCATTAGTCCTATCATTCTTTTATAATTCACGTGATTATGGGCAGCAATTAATCACCCATGTAATTGTTGTGAAGTTATAAGACATATTCCCCTCTGAGTGTTTTCGTGATAGGCTTATCTCTAATCATGAACTTTAAGCCTTCTCTAAAAGGAAGGTGCCAACATAATCTGATCACAATGTTCCTTGACAACCCACACACGATTGTGTCCGCTATTGAGTTGACACCACACACCCATGTAGTCCCAAGGACTCATTAATCCTTCTTTTAGATGATATTCTAATTCCTTTGTTTAAAGGATCTCAATCTATGAATCTTGTGTTGAATGAACCTAAACTATAAAATAAGCGCAGAACATTCTTAATCAAGAGTGTTCTTAAGTATTAATGACATGGTCCGTTATAATCTAACACTCCCCCTCAAATTGAAGCATAGCTGCTAGTTATGTTCAACTTGGATTTTAAGTCATCGAACAAAGAGTGTGGCAGGTTCTTGGTGAAGATGTCCTCTAATTGACCACTGGAGGGCACATATGGAACACAAATTTCCTCGGACTCAATCTTTATCATAATGAAATGTTTGTCAATCTCCTCATGTTTGGTACGATCATATTGGACCGGGTTGTGAAATACTAATGACGACCTTATTATCACAGAATAATTGCAGCGGGACTGAGGTTGACATATGAGCATGATGTGTAACCAGAGAGCTTCACAGATTTCTATGGATCTAGATCAGAATTTAGCTTCAGCGCTGTTTTGGGCGATCACAGACTGTGTTTTTCCGCATGATAAGATTGCCCCATACAAATGAGTAATACCCCCGATATGGAACGTCGATCATGAACTGATCCGGCTCAACCGACGTCTGTATAAACAACAATTGACCGAGAGGTGTGGCGGGAAAAGAACAAACGTGAGCCCAGTGTACCTTTTAAATAGTGGAGAATCCGGTGGACAACTTGAAGGTGGTGCTTGTATAGGTCATGCATGAATTGACTTAGAACTTGGAGGTGGTGCTCGTGGCATATGTCGAGGCGAGTATGAGTCATGTAGATGAATTTTCCCACAAGGCGCTTGTAATGAGTTTTGGTGACAAGTACGACATTAGGAATGTCAGATAATTTTTAATCGAGATCCATAGGAACAACAACAAGTTTGCACATAAGAAGATTATTCTCTGTCAGGAGATCAATCACATATTTACGCTGAGATAAGCAAATTCCCTGAGAGGACAGGGCCACTTCTATGCCTAAGAAGTACCGGAGAGATCCCAAATTTTTCATCTCGAATGACGAAGTAAGAATGTTTTTTAAGGACTTCAATGTTGGGAGATCGTTACCTGTAAGAACAATATCCTCAACATAGACAATAAGGATACCTAGCCATTGGAGGAGCACCAGAAGATGAGACTAAGATATGATTGAGCCTGAATAAAACTATGGCCCACGATCACTTTTGTGAACTTGTCAAATCAGGCCCTTGGGGACTACTTTAGCCTATAAAAGAACTTTCGTAGTTTGCACACTTGGCCTTTGGAGGCAATTGAATCAAAACTCAGAGCGAGGGTCATGTATATTTCGGCCAGATCACCATTCAAGAATGCATTCTTGACATCTAGTTGGAATATTCATATTCACCGCAAGTGACAATATGACCCGAATAGTGTTTAACTTACTTACAGGAGCAAATGTTTCGTCATAGTCAACTTCATATGTCTGTGAGTATTCTTTGACCACCAATCTTACCTTGTTGCGATCAAAGGATCCGTCAAAGTTGAACTTGGTGCTAAAAATTCATTGGCTCCTAATAGATTTCTTACCTCGAGGAAGGTCCACGACGTCCCACGTATGGTTGGATCAACAAGAGCAACCTCACGACCATTGTTAGTTAGTAGGTTATGAGTAGGAATTTTGAATTGAGTTAAAGATGGAGGAGTTTAGGAAGGTGTGGAGCAATAGGAAAGAAAATAAAACATAATAAAGTAAATACATATTCATGAAATAAAATTAAATAATAAGTAATAATGGCATAGGCCGTTATAATCTAATAATATCACTATAAAGTGTCCAAATTTTTGGTTAATAGCTCCATAAAGGAACTTTTCAAGACCATCTCGATTCTAACAATTTCATCAAGTAATAATTGGTATTTTTAATTTGTAGTAATGAGTTTAATTTATATTGTTGAAAATTAATGGAGTAATCAAAATTATTTTAAAATTTTGGCTAACAAAATTATATAATTAATAGACTCACATTTGCGTTGATATTTAACAGCCCTTCCAAATACTGATTTTTAAAAAATTTAGTAATGACATGTTGAACACAATGATATCATTAACCCTAAATTGTGTGTAATAATTTTCTCCATCACTCTTTCAGCTCTAGATGTGGCCAAATCTCTATACAAATATAATTAGAGCAGACATTTGCATAATAACAGCAAGATAATTTAAATGAGTTAATTTCAAAAGAGATGGCGAGTATAATATATTAATTTTTAATCACATTTATGCTCTATTTGAGTAATATTTGAACAATCTTGAACACTTTTTAAACATTGATTTAATTTTGTTTGGTTTTTGCTTAAACTTTTCTCAAACCTTGATCGAACTGTCCAGTCTTGTTTGAACTTTTTT